GCGTCGGTGTATACACTCTCTGTTTTCCCTTAAACTATGAGATTAAAATCGCTTCATATTTTTCTTTCTACGAACTAATTCTTCCTTCCTGTACTATATCCTTATTGCAGTCTTTCTTTTATATATTACCACCTCTGAATTAACTATTTTTATGAATCCGGTGTCCATCTTGTTGTGTTAATGAGGTATGGTAACTTGGAACGATGCATATATGTGCCTGGTCCTACGTTGTAGCTAACTGACATCAGCTTCTCATTGTGGTAAGCTTTCTTTTGGTTATTGTGCTTCTGGATCTCTATTATCGTACAAACTGCGTGAGCTGCATTTATTCGGTCAAGTAGAATTGTCAGTAGTCAGCTCCAAAGTACACGTCATTCTGTAAAGAAGTTGTGAAACATAACATAATCCCTGCAGTGAAACGGAAAAATTTAAAGAAACAGTTACATATGACTTGTGAATGTTTTGCATTTGGTTGGTAAGCACTTATGTCTAATCTCAGAAAATACGGAGTTACTGTCGCACGCTTTGTATCACTAAGACCAGAATTTGAGGGCAGATAAGCTTTCTAGGACTTGAAGTAAAGTTAATACTTAGTTCCTAAAGTACCTGACTCCACTGGTCCACATGTTCAAACATTTTTATGTTCTTTGGTTAAGGTAATCAGGTAGCATAAAAGTTCTAGGTCATCAATTCGCACTTGAATAATATATCCTATTAGTTATAAACACAAGATTAAATAATTCATAAGGAGATATTTCGGAATGTCTAAATCCATGTGTTGTCCGTGCATTTGTTTGGAAGCAATGGTTGTTCCAATTTGATCACTGCATTAGTTCCGTTCATCTTTAGTTTTATGGTACACAGTAAGGTCAAACTTTGTGTAGTATTCTAAGTTCAGTGTCAAAATTTATAGTACTAAGTCAGTTTTAAATTTACATTACTCTAAATCTAGTTTTCTCTGTCAAACCAACACAACACGTGGCATGAAAACAACTATTTTTATTATTATTTAATTCATTAGAATGGTAGGCGTAGGCGAGATATCCGTCTATCAACCAAAGGACGTGTTTACTGCGCAGCAGTTCGTCCCGTCCTACTTTATGGCAGTGAAACATGGCCGGTAAGAGTAGAGGATATTCGTAGGTTACTAGCATTTGATCAAACGTATCTTCGAAACATTGCTCGTATATCCTGGGACCACCGAGTAAGTAATGCAGTTTTTAGGAAACGGGCACTAGGTAAGAATGGCAAATCAATTGTAGATGGCTGGGACATGTGTTACGTATGCCCACCCACGGACATGCGATATTTTATGGTATATGAGTAGGTTGGAAGAAAGCTAGGGGCGGTCAGACCAAAACATGGCACAAATGCATGAAGTCACTGACAAGTGGACTGAGCCATGTTGGTAGGTGTAAACTACCTAGCTGGGATCCGCGAGACAATAGCAACCGATGGTTAGAGACCCTGAATGATATGGCTCAAAATCGTTTGCAATGGCGCAAGTGCATCCACTCTCTGTGTTCTTCCAATTTCTAATCTTCTGAATTCTTCATGTCCCTTATTTTCTTTCCAAATTTATTTCACTGGATTATACTCCTTGAATAACATCTTCAAACCCTAATCTTTCCGATTATTGTTTATAATTTTACTGCCTTTACCACTACGGGATTTAAATGGACAATTGTATCTCTGTACTACCTGCTTCGGTTTGGGCACCCGGGCAGTATCACAGCCCTCACATATATCAAATGAGATTTGTGTGGCGCATATGTATTTGGTACCTCTTTGTACCAATATCTATGTGTTAAATAAAAAAAATAAAATCTCTTTACTAATATGGTATGACAACTCGAACTGTTATACACACGTACGAAGTTCTACGTTTTTGATGACTGACACTGATTGTAAAATAACCCTCTCTTTGTCTACCTGTTTTTTTTACAATATTATTCTAGATAGAACGGTTCCACAATGAATCCAATTACGAATGCCAAAAATCAGAATTTAATGAATGAGAAGGAGTTATCGCTCGGTCACACAGGGACAGTTAGCAGTTGGCATAGACAGTACAAAGATTCGGCTTGGATCTATGTGGGTGGTTTACATTACGATCTCACTGAAGGTGATGTTATTTGTGTTTTTTCTCAGTATGGTGAGATTGTTAATATCAATTTAGTTCGGGATAAAAAGACAGGTGTGTCAAAGGGATTTGCATTTGTGTGTTATGAAGATCAAAGAAGTACTGTTCTAGCTACTGATAATTTAAATGGAATAAAATTAGGAGGTCGTATAATCCGAGTAGACCATGTCGAGAAATATCGAGTACCAAAGGACGGAGTTCTTGATGTTGGACATATGGATAAAAAGCCAGAACACAAACGACCTACTGACTCTGTTTCGGAATTTGTTAAAGAGCATGGATGTGGTCCAGAAGTGATGAAACAACTGAAAAAAATTCAACAGGAACAAGACGAGGCAGAGAAGCGACGCCTTGAAGCTATTCAGAAGCGGAATAGTCGGGAGAAACGTCATAATCCAGAGTCAAGATCTAGAGAAAATGGAGAGTCAAGACATAGAGAGAATCGAGAGCCAAGGCTTAGGGAAAACAGAGAACCTCATTCAGAAACAAAAACGGAAGACACTAGTCAAAGGAACTCTCCCAGACGCCTACGCAATCCAAGTCCTTCCCCACCGCGCAAAGTCTCTATTAAGGCGGAGCCCCCTAGTCCACCAAGACCATTCCGCTAAGTTAATCGAAAATTGTCACTGTACATAAACTTTTTTATAATTACATTACACTAAAAATTGGTCACCCTTTAATACCGATGTATTAAACGATAGTATGGCTCTTGTACATGCAGTTATTGTAAATATCTACTTTTAGTGTATTTGATTCGTGCTTTTTAAAATAAATTTGTTATTGAATACTTTTAATTTAGTTCTCGAAGCGTAACCACAAGTTTTATTCAGGTTCTTACAAGTCACCAAAATCATTCTACTCAGCTGCAAGTGTCCTCTGCCATCCCACCAGAGGTTGTTACGTGCTTAAGTGATTTTAGTTATTTCTAACTACAGGACTACCTATACGGGTAAATTAGTGTTTTATGTACGTTTTACTTCAACAATCGATCAGCATCTTGTCACATATTCCAAGTCTAAAACATGTGTGTAGCCTAAATTTCATTTTAGTACATGGAGTTATTAAAAACAACTTATATATGACTACAGGACAGAATTCCTTTATACTCATCATTGGTTATTAAATTGACGGATGAGTAACTTCGTCCTACTACTTCGCTTGCATACACAGCTGGGTGTTTCTGCAGATTACATAGATTAGTTAAAACGCCATGTACTATTACGACTCTAGCAACCATTATCAGATAGTTGCTAGTCATTTGAATCTCTCAGTATCTACTATAGGACAACTGTTTAGCCATTGTAGTTGTAAACCTGATTCTGTGTAACAAATTCTTACCCGTTAACAGTGAGAAAAACACAATTACAGCACTGCAATAAGATCAAATTTTAACCATTTAATGTTGAATGGGATAAAAGAAAGTTTGATGGGTACTAAATCCAAACATAAAAATAACTGGTAATCTGTTAGGCTTTAAATGGAATAACCTAGAGTTGAGATTTGAATACAAATACGAAAACTGTTGACTCATTGTTAACGATGGTGTTTGATGACGCTTGAGTTCATGGTAGCTTTTTAGGGGACCAGTACTTAGATGATATCGTTAGGAGGAAGACTAAAAGAGTTAATTTGCCAGCCAAAATTGGAATATCAACAGCGCATAGCTTAGCTTTTCACCATCTTAAATACAATACTGTCTAAAGAAAGACTGAAATGAAAAAAGTCGAACAACAAATTAAACAATTTAGAACTCGGTATAATTGAATTCTCCACATCTTGATACGACTGGGAAAATAAGCAACAGCTGCGGAGCACAGTAATTAAAAAAACTGGAATCGGATGCACGTTGCGATTGATTTGAGCTACGACTATTTGTCATGGATGACAAAATAAAAAGGTATTAATGAAGGAATACTAAGACTAGATACTTGAAAGGAGATAAAAAGTGAATGCATCAGCACCAATATAACTAGTTATAGATCGTGTCACTTGTTTTCAGCAATTGATCAGGCGGACCTTAGCTATGTAGTCTGCACCCACATACACTGTCCGATTCAACAGCCAGTAACTTCATGGATTGATGCCACATTTGAGTTTGATCGTCCTTGGTTTTTTTCTCAACTCACTCCCATACCAAACAAAGTGGTACGTTGACTTAGACATGCATAATATATGTCTCAACCATTCCAGTTGTATATTTACCTATATATCGTTGTCTAGGTATGTGTTTAACAACATCCAACCCATGTTTGAAGTGTCTGTACAAAATAAAGCCATTTACCTCGTCAGCTGATTTGTATGCCCTACTGAAATCTTTATGATTATAACGAAACAGCGGTAATATCGTACTATATCTTCGATAATCACATCTAAGTCAAAAGGTACATAAAAGGAAATGGTACAATGTCGTCATGTTTCTGCATAGAAATTTAAAGTTGGTAAATCCCAACTGTGTATTTTTAATCATGCTTCATAATATCCCAAAGCAAGTATGGCTTGTACGATAGAAAAGTAATTTCTAGGCTAAAAACAACTTTAGGGTGAAGATAATGTCATTATAGAGTTTATTAACACGTTGCTAATAAAGATAATATTAGATGTAGTTACTATTGTATTTAGTGTTTATTATGGGCTTATTACACCTCAATGGAAACCTTGTAAGCCGTTGTAAAAAGCAGATGTTTGTAAGCAGGCGGTTCGTGAATTTACAGTATCATTGAGATTGTAGCATCGGATTAGAATCATCTGTCGATCAACCAAATACAACATGATATCGCGCCAATTAGTGGTTCATATCCCAGACAATTTTGTAATAAACCGTCAATTTAGTAAATATCTAAACAAAATATTGGTTGAGTATTGTAGTTAGACTTTATCATACATATATATATCAGTAAACAATGAATAATAACATTAACACAACTAAATTATCATATTTTCTTTACACTTATGAAATCTGGACAAATTATTGATTGCACAAAGTTATAAAACAGAGATAAGTTTGCGTCAAGCATTGACTTGCTTTTTCATTTCCTTCTTGATTGAATATGACGGTTCAATGCATCTTGAAGTGTTACAATAAGATTACGTAGATGCTGTGCTTCCGGTGATGATAGCTGTATATTGTTACGATCAATCTTTGATAATAATTTATCCTATTAAACGGGATAAAAAAAAGCAGTTTACAAATATTAACAGAAAAGTTATTCACTTCTACTATAAAAAAAATAGTTGTGTCTAGCATTACATATACATACTATGCTTTTAACAGAAAATAACTATTTGGCGTTATTCACAAACAGTACTCCAGGACCAGGCACGTATATGCATCGGTCCAAGTTACCATACCGTATTAACACAGAAAGATGAACACCAAATTCATAGAAATAGTTAATTCAATGGTGGTAATATATAAGAGAAAGATTCCATATAAGGATATAGTACAGAAAGAAAGAATTAGTTCGTAGAAAGAAATATATGAAGCGATTTTAATCTCATAATTTAAGGGAAGACAAGGAGTGTATACACCTACGCCGTTGTGATCGATTCTGAGACGTGAGCTTGGCTATCGTGATGAATCAATCGAGCTATATTGGCTATATTATGCTTATTCAAAATGTGACTTTAATTAAGCTCCCTCTTATTTCCTTGGAATCATATCAAGACTGAAGTTTAGAAACTAAACGTAGGTTTACACACTTGATAACATGAGAAGAAACTAATCTAACATTAATTAGATCGTTGTTTGGATGATTTTAAGGGGATATCGATTGTCACGACTGATTCGGTCAAAATCTGCAGATATTAATAGGAGCATCAAGTATTTTGTCGGGCGTATCACTTTATTATGATGATAAACTGTTACGAACCCCGTACTAATACCTACTACTATTAATAATTTTACATATGAAAAGCATGACTAAATATCTTCGCATCTGTCTATCGAAAACGTTTATTAACTATGTTTCTATTTCTATTATACGTAAGGAAGCCATCTGTGTTATTACAGTAAATAAGGTATTCACATTATAGTTATATAAAGTCGAAGTCTATAACTGACAGAGAAACGTAATTTTATAGTTTTAGTTTATATCTAAGAAAAAAAGTAGTTCACTAATATTAGTTTTGTTTCTTTGAATAATAAGTTTGATACATTTAAATCCCTGCTGTTTCACTCTCACAACTGAAATTACTAGAATTCATACATTCCGTTTTTAATCTTTAAATGAATGGAATTGTCTGACTTTTATTTATTTATTTTAACACATAGATATTGGTACAAGGAGGCACCAAATACATATGCGCCACACAGATCTTATTTGATACGTGTGAGGGCTGTGATACTGCCCGGGTGCCCAAACCGAAGCAAGCAGTTTTCTTAGGGGGCCACACCCGGAGCTTTCGACCTACAAGTCTGATCCACAAGGCAGTGGAGCATCGTAAGGAGATGCAGTCCCATGGTAGCCGGTGACCAACGATTGGTTTATATGCCATTTGTTCCTTCAGGATACTGGAGCCCATGTGCACCATTGGTTTGAAATCAGGGTTTTCCAACTCCCTTAGGTGGACTCTCCATGTCCACCAACCCGGTTAAAGCGCCGGACATTCGGTTTTCGTCCTCTGAATTTCGTAAACAATAGTAATGCCACGAGAAGTCAGTGAGTAGGATTTCCCTGGCAGAGGCTATATACGCGTGGCCATGTGAGAGCATTTTGAGAGGGAGAGTGGACTCTCCCCACTCTTGGCCGTACCAGGGCATTTGAGGACTATCCTATTATCATTTATCTGTCCATACCCAATAGGTCTACAGTTAGGAAAATAAATATGTTTATTGTTTCTGAGTGGATATTTAAAATTATAAATATTGACTATAAACTGTTAAGAAAAAATAATAAATCTTACTCTCATTTCTTTAGATAATTTTTGTGTAGAATTAGGTCGTAAAGTTTTATCCATAGTGGTTAAAGTATCATTAGTTGTTGTATAATGATTTATATTAGTGTTAGTTACACGAGTTGTATTCATTTTACATGTACTTGAAGTTTGGTTATTGATTGCACGTGATCGAGTTACTCGATAAGTAGTAGATGGAGGGATGAATCCTTCAAGTTCAGTAACTTTTGGTGTCGAAGCAATTGGTAACCGTTTTCCATTACCAGATTTCATCTAGTCAGAAGTAAACACAAGAATAAATAACACTGGACTGATAACAAATAAAATATTATTTATAATGAAAAGATGCAAAATTTCTCAACTTAACTTCCCCTCTAGAACGTGAAACTATAGCATCGTTAGGTTAGTAATAATAACATGGTGTGAATTTGCACTGACTACGATATCCCACGTAGGCATTTAGTGTAATATTAGATTCTATTAGCTGACGTAAGACATACCATAAGTGGGTGAATTTGCAGGTTGCTGTTCCCGACGACTGAAAAAGATGAAAAAACGAAGACGAATTCAGAGAACCAAGTCACTTATTTCTGTACATTTTCATCATTGACCCCATGACTTCCTATAGTGGGGAAAAACGACCAAACGCTTCTGGACATAGCAAGCTATCGAGTGTTTACTAACAACAAGCTCATTAAATATAAACTGACTGGTAACGTATCAGGGCCCTCACTAGAGAGGGGGGAGTAGCGGTAAAAAGGTCTACAAAATAATTAGTTTGATAAGTCTTCGATGTCTATGCTGACCCGATTAGTTTTACTGGGCACACTGTTGGCTGAAGGCACTCGGTCAATCATACACTCCAGATAACGTTCGGGTATGCTGTGCTGCGCATCTATTGGAACTAGTCATATTGGAATACACACACCTCGGAGCATCAACCATTATTCAAATATATTTTTGCATCCCTCCATTTTCGTCTCCTGGTCTGATTGGCTTTACGGTCCTTGTATGAGAAGTTTTGGAAGGTAGCGTTAGTAAACATTGAGTTTCCGTGACATATTCAGGTTCCTTCACAACCCCTGACGCTTACTTTCTAGTGGTCCACCACTTTGGCGTCCCGCAGTCTAAGTCTTGGACGAACGGATAGATATAAACCTTTCGTTTGACTCCATATACTACACATAGGACAAACCTGTTTGAGAGACGTCAGTAATAAGAATCCACATACGAATTAAGCAGGATGAATTGACTTCAGTTACTCGTTTTCTCAGACATATTAAAATGAGAAGCGAGAAAGTAAAGCGAGGCAGAGAAAGCAAGCGTCCCACCTTCATTTGAAAAAGTGTAACTAACTATTTATATCCAGGCAGTTAAGCTAAAGACATGTGATGAATAGGGTAAGGGATACACACATACAAACTTATAAACTCCGTATACAGCTCTTTTAGAGTTACTGTCTGGACAAAGAAAGAGGGTTGTGCATTAGGTCACCAACCCATCCCGTAGAAAACAACCTCGCTAGAGGAACGCTAATTGAAGAAAAATCACTTAAGTGTTGCCCTTGAAGTTAAAGGATCTTCATTCAGAAGAATTATTACGCCTCACGACGAAAGCCGAGATCTTTCAAAAATCGCGAGGCCAATCTCCTTTCTGACAATCAGAGCAACAATTAATATAGGTACATGGAATGGTCCGAACAGTGTGGGAAACCAGAAAGATCGATCAAATAGCTGTGGAAATAAAGAAATAAATTTTGGTGGTGCTTGGGATAAGTGAAACCTATTAGACTTAAACTAGACAAAAAGGATTAGATTGGGGACAGATGCTGTTTTACATTGCTCATGAAGAATAAAATGCCTCATACACGAAAGGAGTTGCTCTGATGCTGTCCAAAATACCACGAAAAGCACTTATACGATGGGAATCTTATGTTGCGCAGTGCTATACACCCACCAATGATAGCAATGAAGACGATAAACATCAGTTTTATGAGGCTGGAGTCCGCCGTAGAGACGTGTCCAGAAAAGGACACAACCATCCTGGTGGGAGATCTAAACGCCATGATGGAAACGGACATCGGGTATGAAGATATCATAGAACGACATAGACTGGGAAAAAGGAATGAAAATGGTGAGAGATTTGCAAATTTATGTGCATTCAACAAAATGGTTATAGGTGGCACTTCAACATGTCAGGATGTTCTGGGTTGCAACAGGCATCATCATCATAAGGATGATGCTTGGACAAGATTCAAGAAAGGAAGAGCAAGAAGACATCAATTAACAACAGTCGAATAAGAACAGAGAAAGTCAAGGAACACGCCGAAGATACAGAAACAAACAAGAGAGTAAAGAGGAGCATCAGGACCGAAAAGCAGAAATATGTGGAAGACCTGGCCATGACAGTGGAAAAAGAAGCAACAGAAAGAAATATGAAATAACTATATGACACGACAAAGAAACTGATAAGGGAATATGGTAAACCAGATAAACTGGTCAAAGACAAAGAAGGCAAGCCAATCACTGAGATTCAGAACAGAGCAACAGATGGGTAGGATACTTCGAGGAACTCTTTAATAGGCCAGCCATAGTGAACCCACTGGACATCGGAACAGCACCTACAGATCTTTATATAGCTGTCACTCCACCAACGACTGAAGAAATCAGCATGAATATCAAACAAATCAAGAGTGGGAAAGCAGTAGGAGCAGACAACATACCAGCTGAAACACCAAATTCAGACATACAGGTAACTTCAAGGATGTTCTACATTCTATTCAGAAATATTTAGGAAGGAGAACAAGTGCCGACAGACTGGAAAGAAAGATATCTCATCTAGATGCCAAAGAAAGGAGATCCAGGTAGGTGTGAGAATTACAGAGGAATCACACTGCTATCAGTGCCAGGAAAAGTGTTCAACGGAGTGTTTTCGGACCGAATGAAGGATTCAGTAGACGCCCAACTCCGACATCAACAGGCTGGATTCCATAAGGACCGGTCGTGCTTAGACCGAACCGCAACACTATGGATCATTGTTAAACAATCAATTGAATGGAATTTGTCATTACACATCGAGTTCCTTAACTATGAGAAGACATTTGACAGTGTGGATAGGAGAGCCTTATGGAATCTTCCTTGACACTATGGTGCACCTGAGAAGATCGTCAACGCCATACGGAATAGAGTGTCGTTCTTTTAAGGACTGTAGGATAATTATAATTTACTATCAGATTTAGGAATGATAATTCACAAAAAATACTTTGATTTGGCGTGCATTAGGTACGAGCTTCAAACTGTCATTTACTCGTTTGGTAAATTACTGAGTAAGATTATTATAAAATAATCACAAGCTGGATTTAACATCTATCTTGAACTCCACAAATAGTCTCAAGTCTAATTATCGTTAAAATGTTGCCAAGGTCATCATTGCGGAAATGCTTAGGTATAGGAAAGAAGCTAGGTAGTTGTATTTTTAGAACTGTGTTTACACAATATGAACTAGATAACATAAAAATAATCAAACAATCGACAACAAATAACTGCAGTAACGAGAAGTACCTGAGAAGTATTTAGAGTTGGAACTTGACCGACATCATTAATATTTGTTAACTCTTCATCTTCCGAAATAAATGGCATAGACGGCCATTGTGACAAGTGTGGATTAGTGGATGCTTGAGATGTCTTTGCACTTCGACAATTACTTGTAGTATGTCCTCTACATGGTCTTTTTCCGGTACGAGTCTTTACAGAATCTTCCCATTCTAGTCGACTACGCTTTTTTACCTCAGACACCAACTGGTCAAGTAACTAATGCAATAACATAAATGTAAACAAAAGTTTATTATGTCGATATGGATATTTAAAAGATGTCAATTCTAATAAAATTGTTTTGCATGACATTTACAAAAGCTGTTTGTGTTAATCTCAGATAAAAGATTACAGCAAACCAAAATACTGTAACCTTAGTTTGTGTATTCGAATATCATGAAGATAATTACTTCCAGAAATTCCAATCTATGAAGTTATAAACTAATTAAACACAACTTAGACAATGATGTAGGTCTTGTAGACATTACACAAATATTGGTTTATTCGCAAGTCTTTTATCTAAAATTGTTGACTAAGAAAAACAGGGAGTAGTCATGTAGCTATTACCTTCTGGGTCTTAAAAATCCCATAAGTCAAGTTAACCTTCGAATGTGTTGTTACACAAAAAGCTGCAATATAGATAACTCGTTTAGTGTTTAAAAAACATGGATTATTTATGACACTAATGAGATACCTTGTTTAATAAAATCATTTGTTTTCGTAGTTTAATGGCCGAGACACTAAAGATGTTAAGTATTTGAACATGGGTGCCTTCAAAGCTAAAATTATTCGAATGTCACTGTCAGTTGCAGAAACAGAAAGTTGAAAAATGGGTAAAGGTATCCAGAGAAGTATATGCATTCGATCGTTAACGGTCTTTCCTGAAAAAGAAACTTCGCTTATTAATTCCACTTTGTAACAAAATACACGTTTGAGTACTTTGTTTGAAAATACCCTCTCAGTGCAACAACTAGTAACACCACAAAAAATAAGAAAGTATGTTCAGTGGGACTTGGATATATTACGGAATCATTAAAAGCTTAATGCCTAGAGGTTACTTGGTAAAGTGGAATAGTGATTAGTTACAAATAGGTTCAACCTCTACATATCCACGATGATCAACAGTATCATTTATTAGTGCAGAAAAAACTTATTTTAGAGATTAGTGAAGTAGTAGGTTTATTAAGTAGATTTTTTTGAAGTTTGAGACAAATTCTACAGCAGGAAATACATTAGTGCAACAGAGAGAGCTGATTTTTAATAGCTCAATCATAAACCGATCTTAAAACCCTAGCTAACCGTAAAGCAAATTATAAAAAACAAACTACTGGGTACTGTACCATTATTGAAATCAAAACTTGCACATAGTACTACCTTGAGTACAACTTACATTTGCTCCTGTATCCCCATTATACTGGTTGATACAATCAAAGTAAGGTTTACTTCGTATCTCAGTCGGTAGTCTGGCGATGAAATTCAAAGCAGAACTTCTAAATTGAGCGATTGCCTTCTCCATATCATCTCTACGGGCTCGTGTGTATAAAACTTCGCGCTTTTCTGCTTCTTTCAGAAATTCAGTTATTCCCTTTTTAGTCCATCCAGGCTTCAGTTGCATATGCAAGTAATCCAGAATTTTAAAATCACTATCCTCTGACATTATAATAGAGTGAAACTTCTCGTAATATATCTACCATGAAAGCAAATACGTAGATTACTGTTATATACTACTGGCAAAACAGCCTACTTATGTGGGTAACTAAGATAGTGAAGGTTAATAATCAAGAAGAGGTTTATTCACCAAGAGATAAACTAGTGATATTCTTAAAAATAATGATACTAAGTGGAATCCTGAACCTTAAAAAATATAGTGGGACTAAGGTCTGGGATGCAATGTTCCAAAACCAAATGTTTTAGTCGCCATGTGTAGTCAGGCCACAAGTCTGACTAGAGGGATTATTTCTAAGCCCCTTGTCAATACACAGGTACTGAAATTCATAACACACTCACCGCCACTCGAGTCTATATATCTTTAGATTTATCAGCATATTTAGCTTACTTAACAAACAGTTTGGCTACTTATCTAAACACATACTTCCATGCTTATATAAAAACGTATGACTGATTACATGAAACAACCCATGCATATACTCCTCTAACTCGTCTAAATATTGATTTTTTAAAACGCTTGATAATTTATTCGCATGCTTTTATATATTTGTTTATGGGGTTAATTAATTAATTTGTCAACTTATACTTCTCATTGTCTGTTGATTGTTTGATTTATTCTATGCTGAAAAAACTAATACTACGACTTTGTATTGCCTTCTGAAAGTTATACACTTCGGGATCTTTGCAATAATTATTATCAAGTCGACTGATATACGAAGTTTGAGAATAGCTTTGAAAATATTCTGCAGCAATTTACTATGCGATCATGTTATTTTACATCATAAGCTACAGAAGCTGAAGAATAGGAATAAAGTTGAAAGATTACGAAATTTTCTGAACAGCATACATATATATAGCAAAAGTAAAAGCATGTTTTTTTATATCTGAAGATAATGTTTTACAGCTAAGCGGACTGTTGAGCAGTACCTTCAACCCCTATTTGCCCGGTAGATGTTTCTTTTATTTCACAGGTGATTCAGGCCGGTGACAGGCATGCGAACTTCCTGAACCCGTGCTAGTAATTTGTCAACCAACAGCCAAACGTGGTAGACGAGACCTTAAAATAAGCGACGTGGTCGACGTACTAGGTTACTTTACTATTACTGATTAACCTAGCTGAAAATATAGACAAGATTCATAGCCATATTGTGGACTGAAAGCGATAAATGAATCCCGCAGGATTTAACCGATTAATTGCATAAATTTCAATAGATTTGCGAGAATACTAAGCTCCAGGAAAATCTATTATTGTCCAGATTGATGTTTTAGTGGCAGGCCACATTCATCCTTATGTACATTTCTATATTTTGATTTACTCTCCCAGTTATACGTCGGGTATAATCTGGTTTATATATAAATTGGTTCACACTCCGCATTATCCGACCGTAGCTGCAACCTTGACGCTGTGGTCGGGCTTGCCTATCGTGATGACCCAACCAAGCTATATTGGCTGGAACATATGTTCCTGTAGGTTCTACCATGCCAGGCAGGTCGATTGGAGAACGGTAAGACTAAAAGCAGCAACTCAAGGTCTGAGGGCGAAGTCGTACTGCTGGCTGTAGAGGAGTGTGACAGCAGTAATTTGTTTCCCTCGGACAACCAGCATCTGCAGCGATGCTGTCTTCCCACAAGGAGGGGTGGGGTTAGAAAACGTCGACCCTAAAAATGTCACACCTCACTTTACCCCACGGATTTCCGTCTCCGGCGGTAAGGCCCTCGGAAGAACGGAGCTAACATATTAAAAACCTTCCACGAAAAGGCCGTGCGTGACCGGCCTCAAGCAGTTGTCCCTTGGGCTCTGCGGTCACGCTCCCAGGTCGTTAAGACCAACACTAATACAATTTCCTCTTCAGGTTCCTCAAGAAATACCCTTCCACGGTGTGGGCAGCCGGGAAGTGACATCAGCCCTCATACCCGTAACGGCGCACGAGACCAAGTTGGTCACATTCAAATCCTTCCTACACCTCCTAATACCTCTCTTATCTCCATGACTAACCCTTCTCACGTCCCTTTATCATCTCGCACCGCTAGGGCAAACGATTCGAGTACGTGGAACGCCATTCCTGGTCTCCTGAAACCACGCTCTAAACTACACGTAGGAGCTTTTAACGTCCGAACACTGTGCCGAATAGGACAACAGGCTTCCTTAGCTAGGACTTCAGAATCCCGCGCCATCGATGTGTGCTGCGTCTCCGAAACGCGCACACAGGATCCAAGTAGCGTCATTCATTTGACCTCACCATGCCAAAATAAAGAACCGACTCGATTTACGCTTCGTGTATCTGGAAGCCCCGTTTCTGCTTCCCGTGGTCTCGCCGGCGTAGGTATAGCATTGAGTCCTAGGGCAGAACTAGCTCTCTTATTGTAGATTCTAGTAGACAGTCGTTTGTGCGCTGTCCGACTGAACGGAACAGTAACGATCCGAAGAGATAGGGACACTCGTCGTTGCCTCTTCGTCGTCTCTGCCTATTCTCCCACTGACTGCAGCGCAGATGATGTAAAAGACGAGTTTTACAGAAAGCTTTCCGACCTCCTCCTAAATGCTAAGCGCTCGGATGTAGTAATAGTTGCCGGTGACTTTAATGCTCAAGTAGGTAAACTAAGGGATAGGGAAAGACACCTGGGTGGATCTTAAAGTGTCATGGCTCAAAGAACAGATAATGGCGACCGTTTGTTGCAGCTATGTTCAGATAACCGCCTGTTCCTTGCAAATACTAACTTTAAGCATAAGGAAAAACATCTTTTAACATGGAGACCCCCTAATTCGTCCCAACGTTGGACCCAAATAGATCACATCGCTATCAGCCACCGATGGAGGGGCTCGATAGAAGACTGTCGCTTATTCTGGAGCACATGCCTAGATTCAGATCATGCTCTAGTACGAGCGCGTATCTGTCTGCGTCTTACTGGACGTAGGAAAGGCGCTGCAAGTAAACCTCTTAGGGCCCTACTTAATGATTGTCAAACTAAGAATATATTTCAGGAACAACTAGGAAAACAGTTAGGCAACCATGTATGTGATGTCCACCCCGAGGCAGCATGGAATGATATCCGAAAAGCTGTGGAAACAGCAGTGATATCTGCTAGTAAGGTAAACCAGAAGGTTAGGGAGCAACACTGGATCTCAGCAGCATCTGCCGCACTGATAGATGCTCGGAAACTCATTCCACCTGGCTCTGAACATAATGAAGAGCGGAGTCAGCTTAAGCGCAAGCTGACAAGAAGTCTACGCAATGATCGTGAACATTGGTGGGTAGCGAAAGCAAGAGAGATGGAAAAGGCAGCGGCAATAGGTAATAGCAGACAATTGTTCGAACTTGTTAAGGAAACCGGTATTAGGAAACCGACTGTTAGCGAAACAATCTCAGAGAAAGATGGACATATTATACATTCTCAATCCAGGAGATTGGATCGATGGGCAGAACACTTTAGGGATCAGTTCAACTGGCCTTCAGCCACACTTTGGTTTTCCACAATCTCTAGTCAACCTGAATAGCAAGTTAATTTAGGCCCTCCGACTCTTTATGAAGTTGAAAAAGCCATAGGAAATCTGAAACGAGGGAGAGCAGCAGGCCCTGACAGGTTTACTCCTGAGATTTTTAAGGATGGTGGTCCAGTATTAGCAATGAGATTAACCGAGGTCTTAGGTAGAATTTGGGAACTGGACGTAATCCCATCTGACTGGTCTCAATCACTGATTGTGCCAGTTTTTAAGAAAGGACAAAAGTCCTCTTGTGACAATCACAGAGGAATCAGTTTGACTAATATAGTGTCTAAAATATTAACTTCAATAATACTTCGACGCCTAACCAAAGCTAGTGAAGAGCAGACTAGAGAAAATCAGGCTGGTTTTCAACCTGGACGTGGTTGTATAGATCAGATATTCACACTACGTCAGATTCTATAACACAGACACACGTTCAGACGCCCCACAATGGTAGTATTTCTCGACCTTAAGGCGGCATTTGACTCTATTGATCGTGAGGTTCTATGGCAGTGTTTGTCACTGAATGGAGTACCAAAGAAGTACATTAAGCTTATAAAGGCTCTCTACTCGAACACAACTGGTAGAGTGAGAGCTTATGGCGAACTGTCATCAGAATTGATTACCTCAAGTGGTGTTCGTCAGGGCTGTAGACTCTCCCCATTCTTGTTCAACTTTGTGGTCGACGTACATTTAGAGATAACAATCTCCTCATCTAAATTTCCAGGTATTGAACTTGTACCGGGAGGTTCACTTGTTGACTTAGAATATGCAGATGACATAGTTTTATTTGGTGAAGACGCTGACAAAATGCAGAGTCTTCTGACCACTCTAAGCAACAATGCAAGCATGTTCGGAATGCGATTCTCTCCTTCAAAATGCAAAATGTTGCTTCAGGATTGGGTTACATTGACACCCGAACTAGTGATAGGGAGTGAAGTAGTTGAGTGTGTCGATCGCTTCACTTATCTTGAAAGGCTCATCAGCCCTTGTGGTTTAGTGTGTGACGAAATCTCAACACGGATACAGAAGGCTCGACTAGCTTTTGTCAACTTGCGTCATTTATGGCGTAAGCGAGATATCCGTCTATCAACCAAAGGACGGGTTTATTGCGCAGCAGTTCGTTCCGTCCTACTTTATGGCAGTGAAACATGGCTGGTAAGAGTAGAGGATATCCGTAGGCTACTAGTATTTGATCATAGGTGTCTTCGAAACATTGCTCGTATATCATGGGACCATCGAGTAAGTAACGCAGTTGTTAGTAAAACAAGTTCTAGGTAAGGATGGCAAATCAATTGATAGAGTAGTGAAACATGGCACAAGTCCATGAAGTCACTGATAAGTGGACTGAGCTATGTTGGTAGGTGTAGACTACGTGGTTGGGGACCTCGAGATGATAGCAACCGATGGTTAGAGACCCTGAATGACATGGCTCAAAATCGTTTGCGATGGCGCAGGTGCATCCACTCTTTGTGTTCTTCCAATTTCTAATCTTCTGAATTCTTCATGTCCCTTATTTTCTTTCCAAATTTATTTCACTGGATTATACTCCTTGAATAATATCTCCAAACCCTAATCTTTTCGATTACTGCTTATACTCTTACAACCTCTACCACTATGGGATTTGAATCGACAACTGCATCTCTGTGTTAAGGTGGTGTGGCAACTCGATCTGCTGTACATACGTACGTACGAAGTTCTACGTTGTTACTGACTGACTGGTTCACAATGCCATACCCCATTTAGCACAGAGATAAAATCGTCAAGAAATATCCCATAGTAAAAACAATAACAGTCAGTGGCAGTAAGAGGGATTAGACACAGGCAATATGATTTAAAAAAGACTTGAAATAAAAAATAATTTTAAGTCTGGATTTCAAGGAAAGAGTGAGTTGGTCTGCACCAAAGTGACTAATTCTAAGCTATGTCATTTGATTTCTCCAACCATCAATTACGATAATCGACAGTGCAAACCTACCTTCGCAGCTTAGACCAGCAGCAAATGACTTCGTGGACTGATGCTACCTATTGGTTTGGCTGACCTAGTTTTCTTCTAACCCGCCCCTGAAACAAGAGACCACGCATTGAGGTATGTGTTAGTCATGGATATGTAGTGGGTGTTTTAATCTCCATAGTTGGTGAAGATGTAGTCTTGTCAACCCACTTGCTATTTCTATTACCTTGCGTCTAGACTTAAAGTTGTTAACTCGATACTCTCAATACATATGAGTAATACTTCGACAGCATAAGCCTACGAATACCGTTTTTCTTTGAGAGTCACGTTTCACAACGATGAACCAAAACTGGAACGACTGTTATGCGATACACTCATCGTTCAATTGGAAGGCATCACAAGTGACAAATGTTGGCAAAACCCGGCCGAGTATTTGTTAAACATAAACCCATAATGGTTGGTAAGGCTAATAAGATAAGTGAAGTGGTCATGTTCAACTACTTTACTCTCAATTAATGGCTTGGATAGTGATATATATATATATATATATATATATATATATATATATATATATATAGTAGCACATGTTATTCCGCTTAACCAAATAAGCTTTTTCTACAGTTCTCCGTCTTTCCTCTCTTACAGTCAGGTTCGTGCCTGAAAAAAGCGAATATCAAAAATCAACTTTCAGATACCGCACATTGAAAAATACCCAGCCCAAACATGTTTATATTATTGCTAAGAGCAGTCAAAAGAGGATGACTTAGGTTGGTCTATCTAATATAGGTGTCTTCATTATTTGTATACTGAGTATCTTAATAGACAATCGGTAAAAAACGTCGGAGGAAAACATCGTACCTAATTTAGCTAATGGCATGCATTTAACCCTGAACATTCGTTAAAACTGTTATGTGGTATTCTTTCATTGATTGGATTGCAAAGAGCACTTATGATGAGATTTTTATTCAGGAAGAGAGCAAATCCGAGGAGTTAAACAGGAGATCCAAGTCGTCAGAAAAGGAGAAAGTAATGTACATGAAATGGAAAAGAAACAGAAAGAAATACGAAATGACAAGTAACATTTCTAATTTCAGTTGCTTCCACCTCATTTCCGATCCCAATCTCCCCATTGTGGGGAAGCTGCTATAGAAAATTTTGGGGAAATTACTCAAATTTTACAAAGAAAACTATACATAAAAATATAAAAAGATTAATGGTCCAAGAGATGTACAAATCTGATGTCACAGATAAAAAATACATCCATAGTGACTTTATAGTATGTAGTAAATATATACAACATGAGAAGGACCTACCAATTACTAATTAAACGGGACCGATACGCACCTGCCGCTTAGTCAACTTGCATTTTATTTTGATACTGTTAAACAAACTATCGCAATGGACTTTCGTGACAGCTAGAAAATCGCTTGCAATTCTAAGGCTCGTTGTCCATTCATTTGTATTATTCTTTGAGATATGGATTACTTTAACCATAATCAGGAGGGATATATGTCAAAGACTACAATTTAGCTCAATCTTTTGTTCACTTTCACCAATCTGTTTCATATTTTTCTACTTCAAAGGTGGACGAAAAATATGCACTAATTATCTTTCAACTTTGCTAATGATGCCATTGACTTCTGATTTAGTTCATAGTGTTGATATTCACGAACCTATCATAACCGACTTCTACCAGGTCACTTCTAAAATGTCTGTACTCTAATGGTAACGGTTCAGTGATTGAAGGCACTATTCATAAGGCTTAAATTTGCGTCCCCAAAATGAGTTCTTGGCTCACCATTGGATGATTTCTGAGCATCTTTATTTTTTCGGAGTGAGGGAGGAAATACTATGTTTCCATACTCTAAATGGGGATGAATAAGACTGTTGAAGATTATGTGGAAAGTTCTCCCGTCGAACTGGTAGCAAATGCGCTTCAATGTTATCAGTGAGAGGTCTTCTCGAAAGGCATTTTTATCCCAGTTAGCGTAAGACTTCAGATCATAGGGTACCAACACTCCTAGACAGTTTTGAACTTGGGATACTTCTAGAAGTGAGTTACCCAAGTTGTATACGTAGTCTGTTAAATGTCTCAAATGAACTACTTTACGCGTTAAAAGCAATTTTGTTGTCATCTGCCCAACTTTGAATTGGAGTGAGGTCCTCCCGAAGTGTTAGTTTATTCTTTTCGTTGAATACTCTCCAGAGTTCAAGGCATCAGCGAAAAACAATAAATCAGACGATACCTTCTGTGGAAGATCGTTTATATAAATCAAGGAAAGGGGAGTTGACAAATTCTGGTTTTTGCCTGTCGAGGAAAGGCCGTATAACGGAGTGGGCTTTTCAGATTGGAGATAAGTTTATCGATAAGCTTTATCTGATACTAAAATCTGAGTCCTCTTATTACTTTCGTTCACTGTTTCTTCGCTTTTTTGACTTGCCCGTATACACAGTTGTCACCAGTTCGTTTATGTTCCGCCCTGTAGTAACCTTCGTGGTTTAACAACCGAAGAACACGATTTCTAATGACTGTAGGTTGCTTGTAGATGTTAGGGACCTCGTGAGAAATAGACTGCTTTGCAGCTCATAAGCGCGTGTGAGTTAAGAAACCCCGATGAGTATCCACACCACGTTGATGGTGAACTCAGTGCACCTGCTGTAGATTGTCGAGTAAAGCTGACACATTTAACAGTTTAAAAATCCTCCGTCAGTTGTACGTAAAATGCCTTACCTCTGTTTTGTTGGTAAAACTGAAGGCTTTGACGACGCGGTCACTTGTCCACAGGGAGATTGGATCGACAGGTTGCCAATTAAGAGTTCTTCGTTTGTAAACACGAGACTAGCGTGATAGCATCTGGCAGTTTATCAAACGAGTTGCCGATTTGACATTTCTGAATAATACCGATCTTCAATTGGGTTGAAGAACCGAGCTTCAGTAAAGTTTTCACCTCCAGTGTGCGTATGTTCGGCGAATGTTAGCTTTAGAAAGATTGAAGTCTCCTAGAATCAGGATATGAGTGTATCCGAGACGTATACAGCGATATAATCCTTCAAGCATGCGATTGTCAAAATTGATGTCAGCAGTAAGCTTCCTGTAAGCACCTCATGGTGTAACGCAATCTTACTGAACATCATATGGACTAATCAAAATTGATAAATTCTTAGTTGCAAACGTAATTTACTGGCAAGATCGCAGATACAGGTCTTCTCTGCCCCCCAAAGACATCCCGAGTACTACTAGCTACTGGTCCGAACATCTGGAACGGATTACGCGTTTTTGAGGCGTGAATGTGATTTTGTCGGGAACCGCTGTTACGCAGATCAATGAGTGTAGTTTTCACACCAAGAAGAATAAGCAAAGGATGTTTTAAGGTTTTTACCTACCCTGAATAGGTATGGTCTATGTGCATACTAAGTGGCATGCGGACATTCATCCGCGTACCCCTTTGTATACATACTGATTTACCTACTCTGTGAGCAAATCTACGTTGCATGCATACCAGTAACATACAGGATTTAGTCCGTGCATCTGTAGAATTATGGTCTACTATGATATTAGTACTGCTCTAATAATAAACCTAATCCTAAACTTGTCGATTTGTCATGATATAACTGCCTAATCTATAAGATCTTACGTGGAAGTCACACCATCGACTACACCAACTCACTGTATCGTATCAATTACCAATACATGATGAGGAACAAGGTTAGGCTAGAGAAAGAACAATATATTTAATATGAATAGGAGATATAAAGTAACATTGAGATGGACCACGCCTGCATGGACGAGCCATGCCATCCGATCAAACCCAGTCCATTCAATTCATTGTTCGCGCCTTCTCCATTGTTAGGTATTTCTCCGTGTTAAATATTGAATATCTATTTTCTGAGTAGTCTCGTGTTCAGCTTAGTGGATTGTGCGGTTATTGTTCAATGCCACTACACATCCCACAAAATGCATATATGCATATTCAACCACTTAATGCAAAATATGTCCACCTCACTTGTTGAAACGTGTTGTGTACAGCAGACTGTCTCTTATACATTATGTGCATGTTATTTAGCAAAACTGTTCTCGCCGATGCGTTATAGATCCGACCTTCTGCAGCCAGACCATCACGAAAACGCAGAAGATGGCACAGATTGGCAAAATCACTCTGGCTTTCACTATGCGTGAATCGATCTCATCACCCAAGCCATCAGAAGCACTTATGAAGCTACTCAGATACACAAACTTCTTAATAACTTCTACCTGCTCACTTCCCAGGGTGAGTGCAGGATCAGGGTCCTGACAGTCTTGTAAAAGCATTTTACACTTCGAAGGTGCAAGACACATATTATACTTACGGATACTAATTGCCGACTGTTTAAGTGCGGATTGTATGGCTTGGGTACCATCGCACAGTAGAACAATATCATCTGCGTACTCGAAGGCAGTTTGACCGATGTCGCCGAGGGAGCAGACTAGTTTAACTGTTCCTCGGAAAGTTCTGCTCACCGACCAAGACGTTGGTAGATGTTAGCGATGCCGTCATCCCTTCAGGTTGTTCCTCTCACACCAAACTTCCTGCTGCCAGTGACTCGGATAAGTTAGAAGGGCTTCCGGCAGTCACCAGGTTCAGCTGCTGCCCATAACTCGCTGGCACGCTTCCATCATGATGATCCTTGGTCCTTAAGCAAGCTTAACCCGATTTCAATAAGCAACAGTCTTCGTGATCACTCGCGGTCACCCAGAGTAAACCGACGCGCTTCACTCTGTTACATGAAGCTTGAAAAAACCAATTGCTTACAAGTCGCTATTTATCCGACTCTAAGTAGATCGCTTGCTGCTTGTTATCGAAATATGCATGTCGTTATTTACGACATACAATTATCACCTTAACTCGCATTAGCGAATAACCTCACTAAATAAGTCGAATACGAGAATGAAGTTTGAACGCAGTGGAGAAAGCGTGTGAGCCGACTTGTTTTGAGCAAGCGTCGTTCAATATTTATAGTCACACAAAAATAAGTTACAGATATGTGACGAGTAAGATAAGAAATGCATACATATACCTTCATATAAAAACAGTCAAGGACGATGAATGAATAATTAACACGGTCAAAATGTAACTCAAGAAGAATGAGTAAATTGTCCTGTCTGGGAACAAGAATAAGCCGTGGGCTTGACATGGCAATCAACACTACAGCGTCACGCAATTGCAGCCAATGGTTATCTATA